GGGCACAATGAGACTGGCAATTGAGACTGGGCGTGGCGGCACACACCTGTAATCCCAGCTCTTGGGAGGCTGTAAACAAGAGGATCACTATGAGTCCAATCTAGTAGTGAGACCCTGAACACCTTGTAGACCCTTCCCTAAAATACAAAAAGAAAAGAAAAGAAAAAGAAAATTCCTGCTTGCTCTAAATGCAAACCATCTCTCCTCCCCCAGCCACCTGGCCTATGTTCTCTAGATCTGGGAAGTTCCAAGGAAAATTCTGGGACAGGAAGTGATCTCACGTAGAGCTGAGGAGTTGAACAAACCCAAGTCTCGCCTCCTCGAGAAGCACACATCTTTAGAACCTCGGTTCCTCCACCCAGGTGATGACCTTGTCAGGCTCTGGGTGACTTATCAGATTTGTTCTCCTGACCTAGAGCAGCGTTACTTCTTTGGTCTTCCCTTGGTGTTTGCTGAGCACCCTCTAGGTGCTAACTGGGATGAATCAGAGATGCCCGAGACACACGCCTGTCGCTGGAGAATTCAGCCCAGCAGGAAGGATGCTGGTGATTAATCACCATGAGGCAATGGAAGGCGCTACCCAGCCCCAGCCCGGAGCCGACCTGCTCTTCAAGGGTGGGCTCTTGCCATACATCTCAGGGCAGCAGCCTCAGTTCACTGGGGTCCCTCTGGGGCTGCCTCCCCGCCACCACCAGCAGCAGCAGACAGACACTGGGCTCTCAAGCACCAGCATCGTGCACTCCGTTCTTCCTCAGCCATCACAGGGCAATGGGTTCTGAGGAGCAGCAGCATCAACATTTGCCACCAAGATCTACTGAGCAGGAAGTGTGGGGATACAAAGAACAAGGAAAACAAAGACAAGTGTAGCTGCCACTTCCTGCTAAAAGTCTAGTGTCAAGCCCTGAAAGCCAAAGGAATGTGAAACGAGCAGTGGTCTGGGGGTCTGAATGCCTGGATTCTGGTCCCTCCTGGGTGGCCTCAAGCAGGACATCAGCCCTCTGTGACTCAGTTTCTCGATCTCTAAGTAGATGAGGAGGCCAGCATGCTTTGGAATTGCAGGCATAGTGCTGGTTGGCACCTGGGCACTTGTTTTCCTCTTCACATTGGGCTTTCTAGGGTTAGGGATGCGGCTCAGGAGTTGAGCAATTGCCTGGCATGGACAAGGCCCTGGGCTTGATCCCAGAAAAGCCATAAAATCATTTAAGAATATAAAAAGTGGGATTTCTTTGCTTTTAGATGATTGAATGTCTGAGCGATGTTTGTGCAAAGGAGGAATAAAGTAGGAGCAGGTAGGGAGGGGAGCTGAACAACAGAAGAAGCTGGAGGGGGGATGTGCTAACAGGAGTAGTTAAGGGGTGAGAGTGGGAGAGGAAAGGAGGCTGTCAGAGGGCTGTGGTCTGTGGGACTTGGGGACACAGGCGGGGGGTGCATCTCAGAGGTAGAGTCCTTCTCTAGCAGGCTACAGACCTTCGCTTCGATCCCTCGCACCCAGAAAGAGGTGGCTTACGCATGTATTTGCAGCGTTCAGGAGGCTGACGCAAAAGGGTCACCATGAGTTTGAGGTGAGGCCAGCCCAGGCTACATAATAAGACCCAGTCTCGAAAAACAAAACAAACACAATCAGATTTGGTCCCAGGGATCAATACTGGCTGCAGCTAACAGGCAAGCCAGGCCTAGCTATGGCTGCACACGGATGGCTGCGTGCGGAGAGCACAGTGCACCCTGGCCCTGCAGCCCTGCCCGCCTGGAGCCTGAATAGCTTCCCCTGTGTCTGCTGCTGCTCCTGACCTCTAAGGTCCATGCATATCTCAGGCTGTCACCCTGCCCTTCCCAGCTGATGTGATGTGACCCGTGCCTGCCACAGCATGAGATGAGGTTCACTTATGAAATTAGTAAATCCTGTTAGAAAAGAGGGCAACTCTGTCCTGATAGAATTGTTGTCTCTGGTGATCCAGATGGCTCCAGTGAGGTTTTCCAATCTTGTATGGCGCCAGGGTAGAGTCTCCCAGCCCAGTCTCTCTCTCTCTCTCTCTCTCTCTCTCTCTCTCTCTCTCTCTCTCTCTCTGTTTCTCCACCCCCCCCCCAAGGGCCATCAGATATGGCTCTGTCCTCTGGGAAGCAATTGTTGAAAATCTCATTTGGTTAAAATCAGCAGTGCCACAGAGTGTAGGGCAGGGAAAGGCGTGTTTTCTTTCAACAGTGTGATGATGGGCCCCCTTCGTCAGGTGACAACTGAGCAAGACTGCCACACTAGCTTATCTTCTCCTTTTCTGCATGCATACAGGTAGCAGATGTCAGCATGCAATGTTTGTGCCGATGAATGCTGCTCCATGGGCTCCCAAGCCCACCTCAGCCACCTTCTCCTGTCACCAGAAGTCACCTGTTGTTTCATCCAGTCAGAGCCACGCTACTGGACACAGAGGATTGCTGAGGCTGGGAGAGAATGCAGAGTGTCTCCCTGCATTTTAAGCACCACCAGGTTATGTAAAGGAGAAACCAGATCTTCTTCACCTCACAAGAAGGAAGAGCCGAGCTGAACCAGCCAAACTGACTCAGGTGATTTCTGGAATGTGTTCTTCATCTCACAACTGAGCTTTGCTTTTGTCACGCCGCTCTCCTGCCTGAGAGTGCCGGGCACAGGTTAGATTTTTTTTTTTCATTTGCAACATCTCTTTTTGAGTGATATCATCCCCGCAGACGGAGATGTAACAAGGTGAATTGTGTATCTCCTTTGCCTCCATTCTAGAATTACATCAGGCCAGAGCTCTGGGGCACAGCCAGGACAGGAGCCAGAAACCCAAGAGAGGAGAGGAACGGAGGGCGGGCCCCGGGAGCTGGTTCTTTTCCGATCTGCTTTTCTTCCTCCCGCTCCTCATAGCCCCCTTTTCTAATCATAAATCAGATAAATGGGAAAAACAGACTTTAGAGGAGTGGCCTCACATTTACTGAGGATGTTGGTTTTGAACATAATGACATAGCTTGACAGCCCTGCCCAACACAGATGAAGGTGATCTCGGCTTTCTCTCTGGTCCCCAATTATAACAGAATGACGGTACATGCATCTCACCTCATACAAGTAGTAGCCCTATTCCTTGCACTGTTTTTATGTCTTCATCAGTTTTGTTTTTTGGGTTTTTGTTTTTGAGACAGGGCCTCACTGTGTACTTCAGGCTGGCCTGGAACTCAAAACTGGGGTTACAGATGTACACCATCACACCTGGTTTTCTTTCCCTCCTTTGGTGGCACTGGGGAGTGAACTTGGAGTCATGTACACGCTAGGCAAGCACCCTACCACCAAGCTGCATTCCCAACCCACTTCATCAGTTCTGAAGGAGGAAATGAGGAAATGCACAGTCCTGCGGCACAGGATGATGACCCCCATGAAGCTGTTTCCTGACCAAGTAAGCCCACTGGTTGGGCAGGTAGGCTGGGATCTGACTTTCCTCAACAACACCTGGCCTCTTTTTTCTTTTTGTTTTTGGTGATAGAGTGTTGTTATATAGTTCTAGGAGGCCTTAAACTCATTATATAGCCCAGGCTGGCCTCAAACTCATGGCCACCCTTCTGACTCAGCCTCTAGAGTGCTACAATTACAGGTATGCATCCCCAGCCTGGCTAACCTGACCCTCTCAAAACATCAATCAATGGTGGTGTGCATCTGAGGTGTTCAGGAAGGACGGGGCACTAGCAATCCAGAACAGAATAGATCCAAAGCTGGACCACCCCCTAGCATCTTTAGGTGGACACCAAATATGTTTAAAACTCTCTTAGCCTCTCCTTTAGTACCTAGAGTTTTAGCCCTAAACCACTCCCACTAACTAGGAAGAAAATCTTCCACGATCTTTTTCTCTGATTGAGGTGAATTCCAGATTCCTCAGATCCCTGGGTCAGGCTGTTCCAAACACAACTGTGATATAAAGCACACAGTGGCTGAGGACACTGCCAAGGCCACGAGGGAAATCTGTCTCGGTGACACAGGAAAAGAGGCCGGAAAGGGCAAAGGGAAAAAGAATCTGCAAAAGGCACAGTTTGGGCAGGATCTGATTACAACTTCCAGCTGATGGGGTGGGGCCCAACTACAGACATCTGTTCGGAGTTTACAACAGATACAAACACACAGGAAACATGAAAAGCCTACAGCAACACACACATCCACACACACGTGCATGCTACCCCCAGGAAGCTCCCAAAGCACCCCTCTGCCTTGCCCTCCACACCGCCCCCACAGGCCAGCCTAGGCTATAGACAGTGGTAAGGAACAGGCTGTGCCACCTGCCCATCCCAGTGCATCTGCACGGTGACACCGTGACTCACGCACATGGGATTTGGTTTTCCTTCCAGGAAAAGGAGAGACAGCCCCATTCCTCAGAGAGCTTGTAGGGACGTCCTCTCTTTCCCTGCCCTTTCTAACACTCCCAGTTTGTAAAGAAAAATATTACGCTGCAGCCTCCTTCTTGACCGTACGGGTAACCACAAAACTTCAGCAGACTTGAAAAGTATTCCTCGTAACAATTCCTGCTGGCCTCTCTAAAACTAAAATTAAAAATAAAAATGTTTTAATTCAATCAAAAAGACCAGAGAAAGCTCACACTCACACAACTCATTAAGTGAAGATCATGGAATATGCTCCAGACACAGCAGAGCTGAGCCCCCAGTGAGGCCCGGGACAGTGGACAGTTCTGCCACAAGACCCTGGGGCTGCGCACGCTGGTCCCTCAGCCACCTCCTCGCCACACACACTGGGCAGCAGCTCCATTTGCTCACTTGCTGTGCGACATTTTCCTCTTTATTGTGGCCCTCCCCGCGTGCCAACAGAACCAGAACCATGCTACTCAAAAAAATAACAAAACGTTTTATCCACATTTCCGTATATACAACTGAACAACATTTTACATGTTTCTTTTGCACAGCAAAAGAGATATAAACATCCAGCTCTGAGAACACAGTTATGTACAAAAAGTCAAAAATATTTCATAACAGTGCAAAAATATTGTACACAGCATCATGGAGTGAGATCTTTGGGGCAGAAGATATGTGTTTCTAAAGGAAAACTGGGGTTTTTTTGAAGATATTAGATGTCTTTAACTGTAAACAAAATGCAACTTTCTTTCATAACCCACCCCCCAATTATTTGAGGAATTTGGCAGATTTTCAAGAGTCTGAGTCGGGAGATACAGCCCAAGCTCTTACACTAAAAAGAACCGGGGATTGGAGTGGCCTTAAATCCTTGATGTTGTGACCACGACTTTTTAAAGTAGAAGTCAATGTCAGTGCAAAGTGGCTCCCAGGGAGGGGGCCGGAGGAAGTTAAACCCCGCCCCCTCCTCAGCCCAGCGCCTCACACAAACAGGAAATTGGCTGCCTAGCTGGACCTTTCCAATTCCTTGGCGGCCTCTCCTCCTCTCTACCGCATAAGGCGTCCCTCTATTATTAGGGTTTTCTCTTGTATCTCCCCACATCCCCACGAGCAATCTGAGCCGCCTTCAACGGAGCAGGCAGGGTTGGGGCGCAGGTTGGGAAGGAAGCAACCAAGTGGATCTCTAGCCTTGGGCCCCTGGGGGCGGGGTGCCCGGTTCCCCTTTCCTGGGGCAGGAAGGAGGGAGGTTGTTAGACCACTGTTGGGGAGTCCCTGTCGAGCGCTAGGCGCGCACGGCAGAATCCCCAGGGAGTTCAGCCCAAGTGGGGAGTGTCGGAGCTGGCGGTGGGGCCGACTGGGTTCCCTGCGGTGGTGGTAGAGGTGGCGTCGGGACCCCCGCCCTCGATGGAGCTCTCGCTGCCCGTGCTCTCGCCCGATAGCAGGCGAGTTACACGCAAGTCAGCCTGCAGGGTGCGCAAGTCATTGCCAAAACTGAGCTCTCCTAAATCGCTAATCAGCTGCGACAGCTGGGCCTTTACGTCGGAGGCGGCACAGTCCTCTGACATAGGAGTGGGCGTCCCGGCCCTGCCGCCCGGCGCCTCCTCGCGGCCATTCTGCACCGTGTCCAGCAAGTCTCCGCACTCCAAGTGCATGGCCACTACAAGCGTGCTCTGCTCGTCACCCTGCTCCTGCTCTGGGTCCCGCTGCCTCACGCACTCCTCCTCGTCGTTCTCTTCCTCTTCGTCCTCCTCTTCCAGGCAGCTCTCCGGGTGCTCCTCCTCGTCCTCTTCCTCCTGTTCTTGCTGCTCGCCGAGCAGGTCCTCCGTGATGGAGCCCAACTTAGGGGCGCTGCGGCTGCGCTCTACCGGGGGTTTGTAGCAGCAGGGTCCGTGCAGCAGCAGCTTGCGCAGCGGCACCAGGGGGATGGTGTGCGCCCCAACCAGCTCCTGCTGCTGGTGGCGCGCATCGTCCCGACGCTTGAGGCGCTTAAACTCCGCCAGCGCGTTTGCTGATGTCTGGTACAGCAACAAGGCCATGGCCTGAGCCTTCTCGGGCTTGGACACCAGCACGGCGTGGCAGCGCAGCATCACCGCCTTATGCTTCAGCTCGTGCCGGTACACCCAAGCGAAAACCTTGGGCAGTCGCGCGTCGGCCACGCAGTAGGTGACACGGTGCAGCAGGTAGAGGTGGCCCGGGCGGCGCAGCGCGCGCTCCTCCGCGTGCACCATGCGGATCCCTTGCGCGCTCACCGTCAGCTTCATCTTCGTGCCCTGGCGGCCAGCCTCGCTCTTGCTCCAGATCTTGCCCACCGCCAGGTCTGTGCAGCCGTCGCCGCGCGCCTGGATGGTGGTGGCGTTGCCCAGGTAGAGCACAGTGTACGTGGGGTCCTCGCTGGTGATGTGTAGCTTCTTGCGCTTGGAGCGGAACATACTGCCCACGCGGCTGAGAGCGCCTTCGGGGCAGGCGCGGGCCAGCGAGCTGAGCGCAGAGTAATGCAGGCTTACGGCGTAGCCCTTGGGCTTGGACGCCTGCCGTGGCGGCGCCTCGGCCAGCAGCTCGAACTTGTGCCTCTTCCACGGCAGCATCTCCGGAGGGCGCCCCGGCGCGGCTGGGAGCCACCAGCCCCGACCGGGCTTGGCCTGGGCAAGATTGAAAAAGAAAGAAAACTGTGCTGGGAGCGGCCCTGGTGGGCAGGCAGAGGAGAGCTTAGAGTACTTGGGCACCCTGCAGCGTGTGGAGTTCAATTTTTAAGAGAAGAAATATTTATCTTCGAGTGCGTAAAGGAGGATGGGGACGCAGGAGCGCGCGCACAGAGTCACCCAGTCTAGGTAAGGACCAGGGCAAAAGTCTCACGCAAGCGACAACACGAGAAAAAAGGGAAGGAGAGTGTAGCGAAAAATGTCTCCGAAAAAACCCAGATGCACCGGTCAGGGTAAATAGGGGGTGCCCCGGCCGCACAGCCAGGATGGGGCGCCGAGACGCTGAAACTCTCCGGAGACGGCGATCGGGCCCCGCACCCAGCACCTTGGCCCCGGCCCGGAGTCTCGGGGACTCTGCAGCAGCCCGCCCTGGGGCCAGGCTCCCCACCCCCAAAGGTTGCGGGAGAGCGGGTGCCTCTGCCTGGCAGGTCCCAAGATCAGCAGCTGGCTGAGAGTGTCGGAGTCCGGGTGGCCCACGGGCCCCGCGCAGCGACCGCGCAGCTCACTGCATCGCGCTCGGGCCGGAGCTCACGGTCACGGCTGGCGCCGCCGGGGCAGCGCTGGGCTCCGAGGGCGGGGCGCGCGCACATCGGCTCCGGGACGCTGCTACCTCATGGCTCCGTTCCCGGGAACGCCGCGCTCTGCTCTCGGTTCTCCTGGGTTGACCGCCCGTCTTTGCAGCTCGCCGGGTCCAGTCCTGCGCGTAGTAACCGGCTCCCCAGCTTCACATCCTTGCTGTCCCGGAGCAAGAGCTCGGGTAAATATAGGCCGGCGCAAACCATTCGCGCGCAGGGACAGGGGAGGAGCAGAAGAGAGCTCCCGGCTGCACCGCCCGACGGATTTCTGATCTCTTAAAGGGACCCAGTTGCAGCTCTTGGTCGAGGGCAGAAGGAGACCAATCCAATCCTGCAATTAAATCCCAAAGGTATCAGCAACTCTTTTATCTATAGAAACCACGAAGATCTGGGATTACCCCGCAGCAAAAGGAACTTGCACTCTAACACCCCACCCCCAAAGCTGCATTGCAACTCATTGAATAAATGTACGCCTAGATCGAAACTTCTGGGGGAGGCGGCAGAAGGTGAGGTTGTAGACTGTCATTTCTAGTGCAGAAAGGTTGGACAAATAGTGATTGTTTTCCTTGTGGGGCAGCTCAGCCCCGAGAATCTCTGGGTATTATTGAGTATTATTTTCAGAATTAGATTGTATTAAAGAAAGCAAACCAGTCATGGAGGTGCACGGCCCCTAATCCCAGCACTTGGCAGGCTGAGGCAGGAGGATCACCAGAGTTCAAGGCCAATTTGAGCTGCATGGTGAGGTCAAGACCAGCCTAGACTTCATAGTGAGAGCCTGTCTCGGAACAGAAAACCAAGCAGAGAGGTGAAGGCTTATCTTTGACCATCTTGGAGCCTGTAACCCACAAGTGAGCAGCAGGTGGCGAAAAGGGAGTGCTGAGACGCTTGAGAGGACACACTGATGCTTACAGGCAATAAATGAGCTGCTCCCAGCTCCCACCCACTCCCACCCCCGTAGGCTTTCCTGAGATAGGCACAGTTCTCAGTGCTGCTGCGTGTGGGGAGACCTCAGTTTACTTGGGCAGGCCTGGCACGCGGTTTTAGGCCATCACTGGCACATCCGAGATGCGCTTTCCTAGTAAAAATTCAAATGGCATTTTTTATTTGAGTGTCAGACAATGCCTGGCCACCCTCCCATGGGAGTGATGGTTGTATTAATCATGCTGCTTTCCGTGCCAACTGGGCAATGTCCTTTGGTAGTTCATTGCTGGGCTCGTGAAACTACCTGCTTGCCTCTATTGGCTGCTAGTCAAAGCACAAGGACTTCAAGGCTGGGTCTGAGGCACGTGCCTGTAATCCAGGCACTCGGGGCTGAGGCAGGAGGATCACTGAAAGTTTGAGGCCAGCCTGGGTTACATAGTGAGACCTCCCCTCAGAAGAAGATGAAGACGAAGAGAGGAAGGAGGGAAGAGGGAGGAAGACAGGGTGGCTATGTTTTATGAGAAAGACCCAAAATACTATTGAGAAACTTCTAGAAGAAAAAGTTGGTTGTTCTTAAGGAAATCAGAAAACGATTCCTAGGGCCTGCTGGATAGCTCAGTGGATTAAAGTGCCTGCTGGGGAGCGGGCCCTACGCTGAGACGGCGATTGAGACTGGGTGGTGGCACGCGCCTGTAATCCCAGCTCTTGGGAGGCTGTAAACAAGCAGATCACTACGAGTCCAATCTAGTAGTGAGACCCTGAACACCCTGTAGACCCTTCCCTAAATACAGAAAAAGAAAGAAAGAAAGAAAGAAAGAAAGAAAGAAAGAAAGAAAGAAAGAAAGAAAGGATTCCTGGCAGTGCCGACATTTGAAGGGTGAACAGAATTACCCCAAAGCAGATCTGCTGGGTTTTCTAGGTATAAGGGACAGTAAAATCATGGAAGTGCTGAAAATGCGGGCACGCACACAGATGGAATTTAATGATACAATAAAAGGAGGAAGTTTCTCCATCAAAGCTGAAGGTTTCCTGCTGATGGATTTCTGAGCTTCTGCTTTCTGAAGGTGGGAATGGCCTGACCTGACCCACCCAGGGCCAGGAAGGAGGACAGAGTTGCAGACGCACAGCCCAAGTCGCCGCCGCCGCTCTGTGTCACGCCTCGACTGCCTCTTTAATAAGCTTACTTCAACCTTGGGGAGCTGGCAGGTTGGAGACAACTGTGAACACCCGGCCGTGACTCACGGCCAGACCTGTGCTCAGACCCGGGAGCGGAGCCTGGCCGTCTCCACCCCGCCCGGGCCTGGCTGCCTCTGGGGCCCGCCTGGCCACCCCCGCTAAGAGCTGCTGAGGACGCCAGCTCCGAGATCAGAGACCGCGGCCGCGCTGCACAGGACCTTGGCAAGATCAGCTGGGAAACCGCCACACGGCGACTACTTTTTGTGACCTGGCGCCATCTAGTGGTAACATGGAGAAGCGCTACTCGGTGGGATGGCTTCCCATAAAACCCAGCCAGGCTTAGGTTGGACAGTCAGCCAAGCCACGTTTAGAAGGAAACGCTGTGACCTCAGGAGTCCCATCCGCAAGGTAGCATTGAGGTCAGCCCTTTCGCGCCACAGAGGCCTCTGGAGCGGCTCCTCCCTCTCCCGCGCACTCCCCCAACCTCCCACGGAATGGAGGTCAGCTTCAGAGATGACAAATGAGGAATCTGGAATCTTCAAAGCTTTCTGCAAATATTTGCTGAGAGTCAACTCGGGCGTGACTTAGTTGCAGGGGGAAAGGGAGAGCAGTAAAAAAGACACAGGTGTTTGCCTTCTTGGGATTGAGAGGCGAAGATGAAGCAGACAACAAACAACTAATAAAAGATCTGGCAGAGATAAGTCTCCAGGCACTTGGGAGGCTGAGGCAGGAAAATTGCCTCAAGTTCGAAGGCAGCCTGAATTATGTAGGGAGACCCTGTCTCAAGGAAAAAGAAGGGGCCGGGGAGACGGCTCAGTGGAATAAGCGCTTCCCTGGCAAGCGCAAGGACCTGAGTTCAATCCCCGGTTCCGCCAAAAAAAAAAAAAAAAAGGAAAAAGAAAATGTGTATGTGTGTATGTGTGTGTGAGAGACAGACAGACAGAGAGAGAAAGAGAGACAGAGAGAGATGACTGGTAGGGTGGTCACCAGCCACATGTGGCTCTTCAGCATGGAGATGCACACTGGGTCTCAAAAAATAATTTTTTGTCGGGCCAAGGAGACAGCTCAGCGGCCTAAGCACCTGCCTGGAAGCCCAAGGTCATGAGTTTGATCCTCAGTACCAAAAAGGTAAAAAATAAAATAAAATAAAATTGTTATTGTTGTTCATTTTTTGAGACAGGGTCTCCATATATCATCCAAGCTGGCCCTGAGCTTACCATGTAGACCAAGTTTGGCCTCAATCTCATGGCAATCCTCCTGCTTTAACCTCCTAAGGGCCAGAACTACAAGTGTGCACCACCACACCTGGCTCCTTCTGCTCACTTTTTTTTCCTGTATTTTTGAGATAAGATCTCGCTGTGCAGTCCATCCTGGACTTCAGCTCATTTTGTAGCCCAGGCTGGGCTCGAACTCACCACGATCCTCCTGCCTCAGTCTCCCAAGTACTGGGACTACAGGTGAGTGCCACCACGCCCAGCCTCCTACTCACTTTTAAGAGCCTTTAACTCTTTGTTTTCCTGCTAAATTGTGTGCCACTGGGAAGCAGGGATGCTGTTTACCCCCCATGACGTCACCACTGCTAGTGTGATGCCTGCTACCACGTTAGTGTAGTGTCCACATCTGCAGGACAAGTGTGAACCGTGTGGAATTTTCACAGTGACGGGACTGTAGCAGGCCTCGGCTGCTAGAACATGGGCTGCAGGGTGAACCAGCGGGCCCAAGTTCCAACTTTACAGATGGGAAACAGAGGTTCCCAGAGTGCTGCGCACGGCCAGGTGGCAAGCGGGTGGCTGAGGCGCGGTGCAGACTCCTGTGCCTGCACCTCAGCTCAGGCCACTTTCCTTCTGCTGAACATGAACCCCAAGAGCAGGCATGGTGGTGCACACCTGTAATCCCAGTGCTCCAGAGGCTGAGACAGGAGGATCGCCATGAGCTCAAGGGCAGCCTGAGCAACTTGGTGAAGTCTTGTCTCCAAAAGTAAATAAAATATAAAGCCAAAGACTTTTAAACACAGAAATGTGTAGAATCCACATTCTTCTCCCCCTGACCGCTATGAGGGCTACATTTTGGAGATTCATAGATTCATTCGATGAACTGGGCAGGCACAGCCTTCACCAGCCAAACATACTTCTCCCCATGAGCTCAATGAGCAGCCACTCATAAAAATTCATTTGCACTGAATGTGATGACACATGCCTGCCATCCCAGCGCTCAGGAGGCCGAGTCAAGAGGGTCGCCGAGAGCTCAAAGCCAGCCTGGGCTACATAGTGAGTTCAAGGCCAGCCTGAACTACGTAGCAAGACCCTGTCTCAAAATGCAAGCAAACAAACAAAACTGAACACTCTGGGACTCAGAGAGGAACATAACTTCTAGTGAACAGTGAAACAACCAGCACTTGCCTTACCGGAGGAAGAAGGAGCTACAGGTTGAGCATACCCGGTGAATACACTGTAGCAGACAGAAGCAGGAGAGAGCCATCTAGAGGGAGAAGCGTGTGAGCGATGGTGGCGGCTATGGCACATTAAGTGACAAGGACAAAAGCAGAGAACTCAAGGGCACTGAACACCTGTGCATGGCAGACACTGTGTCTAGGGAGCCTGTGCCTGTCTCTGAGGGAGAGAACTGGGCCTGTGTCCTCTGTGTGGCGCCAGTGTCTAATCTCACAAGGACAGCAGCCCCAAGTTAGGCGCACTCCAATCTGTGGCTTCTTTCATTTCCTTCACTACATCTAAGAGATGTCTCCCAGATAAGAGTACGTCCACCTGTCCCCGAGTTATGACTTCAGCATCTCTGTCTGTGGCCACCATTCCAGCCAAGACAGACACTGTGGCAGGAACATGCAGGCGTGAAAAAGGAATAGAGGAGCAAGGGCAGAAACCACAAGCACTTGAGGCAACCCTGTGCCTGTGCCCTGTGTTACGGAGCCTGCCCTTCCCAGCGCTGCTTGCTGGAATATTCACCATTAGGACCCAGCAGAGATGTAGGGCTAGGGACCAGGCCGTGTGGCACATGCCTATAATCCCAGCACATGGGAGGCTGAGGCAGGAAGATTGTTGCAAGTTCTAGACCATTCTGGGCTACA